AGAGTCGTTTTTGTTAAAAAAAAGTAAAGTTTTGTTAAAATATCGTAGACACACGATTCCGTAGTCTAAATCTAATAATACTTGAACACAGTTTAATGTGTCAATGCATTATTTTGTTGTTCATAGGTTTGTAACAATTAAGGTCGCTGCTTTTAATCGTCGCAAAGCAAACACTTCTCATATATTTCATAAATTATATCTAATTTGTTATGTTAATAAAACTCGTATTAAAACAACTTCACTTCATATCGATTATGTTCTTATATGATTAAGGTACCTCGACATAAAGATAGAAAAAAAGATCTTGCCAATTACATCTAATAAATAAAGATAATTTACGTTCAATACGAATTACGAATCGTCTTTGCCGATCCATTTATATCTTGATCACGCCAAGAGGCGAATAATCAATTAACATTATAGATATGACTACACCTTGTGAAATGCAATGAGTTAATCCCATCCACCGACCGCTCGAAGCAATCACTGTAATAACGCTTTAATGCGTCTCTAACCGCGGACTAACTGTTCTTTAATTATTTAAGCATGTTACAATGGAACTTTCCTTCTCTCGATGGTTCCTATTAAATGTAGTTAATTGTGGGTTAATGTACACTGCACCATTGCTGTTTGTAATGGGTTGCACAATTAAATAAATTACACCAATAATACTTGACCATTATTGTAATCGTTCGTTAATCTCCTCATTACTATATAATTATATTTTAATGTTGTTTTTAGTAACACCGTGTCGTGAAACCACTGTACTAATGGTCCGATAAGCTAAGAAGTCAATAACACTATCTACTATTTACATTACATTATACTATACATTTTTTATTTTCATTTTGCTTATTCATGTAGACTTTATTACACTTATTTTACTAATATAATAAAATTGTAACTGAACCATGTCTGTACATGAAAAATATTTAAGAAAAGATAATTTAAGGGATCTTTATAAGACCAATATGTGTCAAAACCGTTTTTTTTATTTTTTTATTTTGCGTCTACCTGTCTGTCTATATGCTTGTTTCAGTATCACTCAAAATAAATCTACTGCGCCAAATTGGATGTGGTTTTGACAGTTGTGTTTCTGAAAGTCTAACTTAAAATTAGCTGTATGTTTTGTCTCGATATGCCATCCAGAAGTGGTCAATTTCATTGATTTTTTTACTTCTGAAAGTCACGCGTACCAAAAGGCTAGTCTCGTATATTTAAAAATCTTATTAATACTAACTAATATTTATAACTAAGATATGTATGTGATTCTGCAAATTTGACATACAATCTGCATTCATTATATTCATGAAGATATTTAATAGTAGATATAATCTTACTTTTGGCAACGTTATTATTTTAATATACATATATTATAACGGAACTTATAGTGTCCGTAGAATACTAGTATAAATAGCAAGAAAATGTTATGTTTTAATAGCACCAAAATCTGTTTACGTATAAATATCAGTGCATTTGGCGTGCGATATCCATTTATAAATGGTGAATAATATCGGCTCGTATAGACAGAGGTAAATGTGCCGTGAAAACCCGAACGCGCCGAAGCATTTTTCTCAACAAAAGCATTGGGTGGAGCGACAGCGCTCGCAGTGCTTACTGATCGCGATTCAAAGACACCCACACATACCTACTTCACTATATTTTTTGTGTGTGATTTACTATATATGTATACGAATATTTATACTTGTCACTGTATATTTTTTCAACTAATAAATACTAAAGTAAACATAATCAAAATTGTGTGTTGCTACTGCGAGCTACTCCTACCTACTAAGAATACGTTTGATAAAAATGCAAATAGAAATATTTATCTTTAAGTTAATAATAAATAAAATACCTCATCGCTATAGCTCAAAGTGTTTGTTTTAATTAAGCCCCAGGCCGTATAAAATTTAACTGAAAATATATCGAAAAATAATATCAAACCCCCTTTGTTGTCTTAAACGAAACTTAATCAAACTTTAATTTGGTTGATAATACAAACACCAAAGTTCGTGAAGAGATAAGTAAACGGATGGAAAAGTCGTTAGGGGGAACGAGTTTTAATCCAGTGAAGACTATACTTGCTTTAATCGCATCTAAATATGCGCGATGAAAAAATATAGCGTTGAGGTATCACGCCGTGACACCACGTTATTGTCATTCATAACAGGCGAGCGGGCGCGAGATTGGCGATGAGCTGTGGGTGGGTCTGGTAGGGCTCTGGAGTGAGGTGTAACGGTGTAAACGTGTGAGCGCGTCGTGAAGTGTACTGCTTATGGCGTGTGCTGTGTGTGAGAGACTTATTCGAGAACAAGCAGTGATAGGGCACTTTTATAATTTACCATAACATGGCACGAGATCGTACAATTTAATTGTCACGTTATAACAAGAGAGCAAAATGTATCAAATTATACATCTAGAAACGCTTTGAATTATCGTGATTGTGCATCAAAATTTAAAAGCATTTCTATACTGTTGCAAACATTTCGTTCTCCTACTACTTCGTGCTATGGTAAATTATAAAAATGCCCATATAAAAATATGACTAACACAAATTTATATTCATCGAAATTCATTAAATTGCCGAATATTCGTATTCGTCAAATATCATGATATTCGTAAATTAATTACACCTTCAGACACATTTAGTTTAAATGCAAATACAAACATTTACCTGCGTTTAAAAAACTGGCTCTCAAATCTCAGATTTATATAAATCAGTGTAAAAAAAAAATCTTAAAATAACTATTTTCAACAACTAATATTCAAACAATAAGAAGAAAATGTTTATCAACAAAAAAAAAATGCATATATTATATTTCTATTTAGAAATATTTAGGTACATAACTTGGTGTGTTTTCCTTTATCCAGCTATAGCAGAATCATATTTTTGTATTTCCTGTTTTCGTATTCGTATTAGTAAACTTCATTCATTGCACTACTAGTATATATGCAAGGTAGATAGGTACGGGATCACACCGCATATCACCACCGTGTAACGAGCAGACAACACTACACCAGCGAGCGCCTTTGATTATTTAAATATGTTGCGGGTCAATAGGCCGGAAATGATAGACAGTGTTATGTAATATAATGCCGTAACCACGCACACGAGTAAACACATAGCAACACCGCAAAGTGGCAGTATTGGTTACTAATATTAGATGTGTAGTCTGTGACAATTATTTAAAATGTACAGAAATATAGAAACGTTCTTCGACAATTACACATTGAAGAAACCGCTTACAAATTTTCGTTACGTCGACGTGATACCACATTGCGTTTGTTAGCAATATTTTGTGCAATTTTAAGTTTTTAACGTCTTACAAGATAACAACAACAATATTTTACTATAATATAATAAAATTACAATTAGACGATGTCTGTACATGGGAGATATTTAAGAAAAATTGGACTCTTAATAAAAGCAATAAATGCAAAATAAAAATTTAAAATTTTGTCTCTGTAAGTTTCAGCATCGTGTAAAAATTACTACACCAAATGCATACAGTTTTCATAGTCGTGTTCCTGAAGATCTGATTTAACAACTGGTATATGTTTTATCATGATATGCCTTCTAAAAGTGGTCTATTTCATAGTTTTTTCTATACCCGAAATCCACGCGTACGAACCAGCCGACAAAAAGTTAGTTAAATATAAACATAATACATTGGTTTTCTACTGTTTGACTAATCATTGTTTGAAATCTTTCCTTATTATTATATTAATATAGATTTAATTATTTGAGAGGGTACCTGAAGAAGTATTACTATTGTAACAGATATAAAATAATACAGTCATTATTTAGACAAGGTATGATAAATGTAATCGCCTGAGTTGAGTACTGAAATAATATTACAATCAAATTTAAATTGACAATTGTATGAATGTAACTAATTGCATATATGTAAGTACTGGATTTGAACTATAGCCTCCCACGTATATGAAGACGTATGTTATTGTTCTCACTGCTTCATATTACGTTCAATTTGAATGGATCTTATTGCATGATTCATGTAGTCATAATCGTGTTAATTTTCGTAGTATATGTTGATTAGGATAATTTGCAGATAAATTCCTTAAAACTTGAACCCACGCTTCGCCCACCACGATGTACGGAGAGCCGACGTATCTACATAGAACCTGTATAATGTTATGTGTATAGGTATTGTAATATTATTCGACCTCAAGAAAGATTCAATTGGATTGAATTCCAATTCGTCTAATCTTTTTATACAAATATTTGCACTTTGTTTTAAATTGTAAAGTTTCACACGAAAAATTTTCATTAAGATACACTCTAAAACCAAATAAGCTGAATTAAAAAATCCCCTTTCGTAAAAAAGCACTCCCAGCTAAGTGGCGCTCGCCACCTTTTGACACACAATAAATCACAGTCGTGAGCGGCCAATAAAAAATATGTTCCACCCTCGGCGAAAATCCAATTAATTTTCGGCGGCTAAAAAAAAGAGCGTGCTCGGCCGAGCGGAAAAAGCTTGGCGAGGCGGGGCAGCAGCGTAAATTTGGTGCAAAGCGTGTGCGGTCGCGGACGCGGAGGCGGAAGCGAGAAAATCTTAAGATCGCGACGTGAATGAACAGAGGGTTCGAAGAGCACGTGCCGTTCGCGCTCTCTTTGTATAATAATAACGTTAAATTAAACGAGATAGAAACGGGAAACGCGGGAAAAGTGGAAAAAGGGGAATAATGGAGGAGTAATCAATTTCGCTCAGTCGCCGCCGCCGGCGAAGCTCTCATTTAAAATTTAAAATATCGTAGCATGGAGGGGGCTCGTGGAGGACTTTTTAATTTGGCTCAGCTTCGTTTTAAAAATGCACGGAGCTCTGCGGTGACACATCAATTTACTTTGACTGTCAACACTTGAGTTGCTTAAATAGCGAAATGGTTCATTTATTTTGTATTAGTTTGCATGAGTTAATACATAGAGAATAGTACCAGTGGTGGATCTTAGAGCTAATAAATATTTTTGTTTGTTACAGCAACAAAGACCAGACCTGCCCCGGTTACTTCAACAGATGCACGCAGCACATTTACCAGCGCACGGAGCGCCACCGCTGCCGTTGCTTGGCCAAGGTGCATTACCTCCAGCGGGTTTGCTCGGCCTGGGTGTCCCACACCATCCACTTTCAGTACTAGCCAAACCACCTGACTTACATAGACCCGACGACAAAGGAAATGGTAAGAATCATATAGATACTGATCGCTTACAGATGTCATGTTTTATCATTATAACAAAAGCTTTGCACTTGATCTTAGTAATATAGTTCTCCAAATGATACAGTGGAATGAACATTGATAAATTAAAGAAACCCCCATAATAGATGATAAATTTCTCCAAAACGTTAACAAAGAAAAATAACTGTTTAAACGACTTCAAAAATTCCTTTTCAAATTTACGGTTTTTATTTTGTGGGTGAAGGTTTTTTTTTTCTTTACAGTTAAATCTTTGTCGACACCGATTTTAATGATTCTACTTTTAATTGATAGTTGTTTCGTGCTATTGTATTAGTCATATTTTTTAATGTACTTAATTAATTACTAATACACAATCTAAATATTAAAGAATGGCTATGATATGATATTCTGGCATGGTATATATTGAATTGGTCATAGAAAATAACTTCCTAAAAATCTGCAAAAGAAATCATAGTAAGTGAAGCCAATAGTTCGATACAAAATGAATATTTGAAGAGGCATCGTATTTGTGTGCTCGTCTTGTTTGCTGTGTGCCGCTAGGGACTATTAGTGCTCTCCGCGCGCCCGCACCCCTTACACCCGCACCCGCGCCCGCGCCCGCACCACCGCGCTCTCCGTTGACAGACGTCTCCGATCCCACTTCTGTTTCAATATTTACCAGCTTCGAGAGGCTTTTTGAACTCACTGTTTGCGTGTTTTCGGATCGCTGACGGCTACGGCGCGCCCGATATTGCTTTGAGAGTATGAATAAGTCACTTCTTCGAATTGGTGCCTATCTATGCGTGTATTTGGACAGAATATGTAAACAGATGTGGAACAGATTGGGTAGAATATTTTTCGTATCAGCGGTACCTACCAAGAGGGTTTATGTAAGTCGTTATAAGTAACATTCACTGCAAACAGGCAGCGGTGTTTTCAGTTTTCATCGGAGCGCGAGTAATCCCTACGAGGCAGGGACGAGAGAGCCACAAATGAAAATGTAACACAGAAATGGATTTGGAAGCCGCCCGTCGCTCCGGTTAATTACAAAAGCAAGCGGTAATCTGCGCTCCGGGATGTTCCGGCTTAGCGCCCCCTCGCGCCTCGTTCCGCTCCCTCGACCCCTGCTCCTCCGCCTGCCACTTCCCTGGCTAATTTGTGCCATTATCGGTGTACTGATGTAAGAGTTACCGCGCAGATGGCCCCCTCCACCCCAACCTAGTCCCTCACCTTGCCCGCGCTCAATTAATTATTCCTTGCTGGTGTGAGCGTCGCGTGTTTTAGTCAATTAGTAACGTAATTTTGTGGCTGACTTGAGTGTATGCGGCTGCAGACCGACACAAATATCGCGTTTTAATGTAGGTGCTTACAGTAAATTATACACGTATGAATTCAAACAAATGGTATTATTATCTATGACTTCATTAGTATTATGAATCAAAGACGTAATAATATTAATTAACTAGTACACCAAAGAAAAGAATTTTATTAGTCAGTTTTGTCGTGATTATTACATAGCGACCTTTAATCTGTGCTCATACATACGTGACATATTTGAAGTGTTACTAATATGGACGGTATAAAAAATGGAAACGGCCAACGTTTTTATATGCATTGTTGGTATGTGGTATAGGCAAATACTTGGACGTAGATAACTATGTGCCTGCGTTTAAACTAATTGTGGCAATAATGCTCAGCCAACACAAGGTCTGGTCTTTGCTTAATACATATGTAGTACATATGCATAATAATGGTATTGGATTGGCAATTGCTCGCAAACTTGAAGCGAATCAGCCGCTTTGAATAGCGCCTTTGACGTCTACAACCTGTGGTTGCCCTATTTAGTTAGTTACCTGCATACATATCTCTATACCACATATAATAGTATTACAATTATAGTGTCAGTCGATGACACCACCCTCTTGCTCGGGTGTCAGTCGACGCCCACCTTTACTAAGTGACATTGTATCTGCGGTAAATGTTACACTTTATTTCATGGATTTTGTAATGCATGTTGGAAGCGAATATTAGTCTATTAATTATTTTTCCTTAATTAATTCCTGGTCCCCACGAAAGGCATGGTTTTGGAATAACCAGTGAACGCAGACTGTAATCAGCTTGTGTAAATATGTGTAATAAAAATCTACATTTATAATATTCAGAACTTATTATAGCTGTATTAAATTGTATTGTATTGTTTTAAATATTTATTTTACGATAGACAATGACGTCATTATTTTTTCAAGTTCTAGTAGTATCTGACTGTCTCTTTAATAGTTTAAATCCTAATCATATCAAAAAACAAAAAATTATAACGTAACTGTTTAACACTTATAAAATAGAATGCATATTTCGTTTTGTTTGTGGTGTCCTGAGACAGAGGTTAGCAATGATTGATGCGTCTGCCGTTAGACAGGAGCTAATTCGGCTGGTGTCGGCGCAGTAAGTGCTTCCCTCTGGATACGTGACACGAGTGATTGCCTCCAACCAGCCAATTTGCTGCCAGGGCCCTTTCTAACAATTATCTCCCTGAATTGTGACTGTCCGTATACAGTGATGATACCTATATACTCGTATATAGATATATTGTTATATACAACATATAACATAAGTATATTTTATTAGTTTAGTAGTATGTAGTTACTACTATAGTTTATACTGTCCCCACCCTATATTTATGATTAAAATTTATATATTCCATACTTTCTCCTAGTTGTCACTTCGCCTATATTTTTATATGTTACGTGGCGAACTTTTATGGGGCAACTTTGTCTATCCGTCACAGTGTTATATCTCCGCAATTACTAATGCTTATAGGTTTTAAAATAATTTTACGTATATATAATGTTTTTTTTATAGAAAATTTAATAATAATAATTATAGTTTATAAAAGTATATGTAAATATTACAGGAAAAATGGAACAATGCTTATAAGTAGCGCCGTTTTTTAGAAATCATTACAAAACTTAACAAAAACAATATTAGTGATGTTGTTAACCACAATTATGGCCCAAAATAAATGTGACCTGTAGTATTAATAGAAATAACTATTAGAAATGCAATGTCATTTTATCTCATATTTATATATTTGACTGACCGGTAGTAATAGGTATATTTGCGTATATGGTATTGATATTAAAAGTCGATTACTAGTTATTTATATGTCAATATAGCAATCTAACCAACAATAAATTAATCCATTTACTTTGAAAAAATATAAATTAATTTCACACCTTCTTATACATATTTAATAATGTTAAGTTATATGCTGTATTTTAACGCAATGATATAGTACATACATACTTAGCATGGTAACATACTAGTACGATATAAATGGGTTAGATTCGGTTTTGGTAACCGCGAGGGATGCGTGAGGTGACGCGTCGCCGACATCCTCTGTAATATTCATCGACCACTTTACACGCGGCTTCGCCGACCCGAGACCCGGAGTACCACATCTACAATCTACATACTCAACCTACACATTGTATGTTCCTCTCTATGTATTGGTTGTACATAAGTATTTATCTTTTATACATTTGTTTTGTATCTAATAAAAACGGGTATATTCCACAAACAAATGTACCTATAGAGCTCATATTATAATCTTTGACTTTACATAATCTTTAAATCTCTAAGAAGCTTTTGCTATGATTATATACCAACCACAAACAGATCAAAGTTTATTATTATTTTTTAATTAGCTTCACGTTACGCATTATGATGAAATTTTCATAATAAAGCTAAATATTAAGCTAAATATAATAAGCTATTTCAAAGCCTTATATTCTTTCCAAAAAAAAATTCCAATTAGATCGTTGATTCTATACGTGTAAGTAATAAATTAAAATAAATTGTAATTAATTAATCCAACTAATTTTGTTTATCTATTAACAGGTATCAGTTCAGCAGAAGAAAGACATGTAAGTACACAAAAGTTGATAATAAGTTTGGTATACCTTGCTTTTTTGCATAAATTTATTAATAGAACGAATTTTATATCATACCTTTATTCTGATAAAAAATAACTGACAAACATATTGTCTTTTCCATTTGGGAATGCGAATGGTGAGAGGAGTGCTACGCTCGAACACGTTGATTTCATAACATGGCTCTGACTGAAACAAGTGGGTGGTGCAAGTGGCGCATCCCGACCGCGTCGCTAGGGTTGTGCACTATTTCACATTATATTTTTACGCTTTTTCATTTATTCATGACATATACATTACTAGATTTTAATTAATGCAATTGCCATTACAAAATGTAGAATATTTTTAATCGATCTAATTAAATTACCAATCAATAAGTAGTGGCTGTATCTATCAAGAAATGTAATTATTTATCGACATTTAGTCCCAAACTAAGCAAAGGTTTTACTATACACCTAAAAATATCGCAACATTTTTTTTATAAATACATAAAATATGACAATGCCCAGACCAATACAAACAACACCTATAAACACAACTTCTTGTATTGTAAAAGGATCGATCGCATAAAAGGCGAAATACTATATAGAACCACTGCTTTGCCAAGATAACCATTATTTAATCTTCATTAAAAAATATTAGATAAACCAATACACTCGTGTGAAATCAAATCATTAATCTGTCCAAAATGAATAATTTTAAAAACAAGTCAGCAACCCTAAGAAGTAAAACTTGGTGCGTGGTGTGCTAGAGAGGTGTTGCAAATGTCGACTGTAGTGATACAGAGGTGGTGGCCCACCGCCCGGCGCACCCTCGTTGGTGTGCTCGGATGAACGCAATGGTGCACCGCACAGATGCACTGTGCTACCTACCTTACATGCAACCACTGCACTACCGTACCAACGCTGCATTGCTCTACCGCTCGCTGCTAACAAAATGCATTCGAATCGATACTATGCTCCGCTACTTTGTAACATTGTTTTTATTTACTAACCTAAATTTTTTTTACTTTCCTTATTATCTTTAATGTAATGCTTGGTTACAATTTTAACTTTAACAATGTAATGTTTTTTAATTAAGCTCATTTGACAAATTTAGTTAGCTAGTATTTCAAAAAATAATTATGAATGCAAATCCTCAACTGCAATTAATTTATTTTTATCAACTTCGGCATTGTTATTGGAAACAAATTTGCTAATCACTTTGGATAGGCTACAAACAAAAATAACTTTATTTCACTGAAAAAGATTTATAAAGTAAAACCTTCTTTTTCGTGGGTATACAGTACATATAATACATTATAATTTGATAGTCGAAACAGAAGGTATCATACCTTTTAAGAAAAGTTTGCAAACTTGAACGAGGTAAGAAACTTTATAAGTTGACGACGATGTCGTACCGCGCCAACCAGCACGTGAAGTTTATCTTGCTGTGACCCCGATACCGCGCGGTAGTGTTGGCAGTCCGCTCACGAAGCTGTCGATCTGTGCAAACACGCGGCGGGCTGAGTAATGCACGAACGCGCCTTACAATTTGAAGTAAGGGAGCTGGGGAGGTGGCAGGGAGAAATGCATGCCGTAATAAAGTTTACACAAACGTAGCGCGTCTTGGCTACGAGCTGCCGGCTGCGGGTCGTGGCAGCTCAAACTTCGTCGGTCGCTAGTCAGCGGCGTCAGGTTATATGCACTCGGTCTGTGCTTTGCTGCTTTGTCCAGCAATTGTTTTTACTACGAGTCACGAAGGCACTACACTGTTGCAACTGACTCTCTGTTTATTTGCAAACATCACACGCCGTGTTTGATTTTCCGATACATCAGTTTACTGTTTATTTTAACAATATACAGAAACTCGCCATTTCAAACTACCTGAGTTATTTATTATCTAAACACAGAAACAGGATATAACATATATTTGTACAAAACTTATTACACTAATATGTTGCTGTATAAAATCTGCCTGTAGATGTATTGTATAGAGATACTTTAACTTCCTAGAAAGCTACTTAAATTCCCACAAAATATTACCGAGTTTACGACGGGCAATTTACACCGACGCGAAATTGAGCTGCGGCCCTAAGCCTAACAGGGCGAGCCTTTCCACAATCTCATTTGGGTAACATAATAACCGCGGATTTATTTCTGCCGCCCGCTCATTCGCTCTCAAATCGCGCCTAATATTCAATTTGGGCGCCTGAACCACACAAAAACTGCTCGGAGCCGGTTCATTACGCCGCGCATCTCGCCTCTTCATCCTCCTTACCTTATCTAAGTCACTCTGAATAACACTCCCTGTGACCCCAACTCCGACACACCACCCCGTCACCCGCTCACCACTTCAAGTGGAAAACTCGCAGGGCGAGGGCCGCTCAACCTTGTTTAGCATTCTCCTCGACTTCTTTATTTAATAGATGCCGAAAAAAACCCCGGTCAGAATAAATTTGCGTTTGTTCTCCGATATGCCTCAGTCGTTGCGTATTTAAAGGTGCGTTCCTTTAATTAAGGTAGCAACGGAGGGTGTAAGTACGACTTATTTATGGAAAAGAAGCGAAAGATGTTTACAAAACCATGAAAATATAAATTATTTATTTTATTTCACATCAGATATCAGCTGGTAGAAAACGGTGGCAACCCTAGCGTACCGTGTTTACGCGCGGTATAACAGCACTCGCGCCGAACCCGCGACAGCCTTCACAATTTATCGTCCAAGACTTTTCTTAATTGGAAGGAATGGCTACTTGTAATTATTAAGACGGTCTAAAGTGAAACAGATTGCACGGTAGTCGTTTCACTGCTCTTTTATTTTTTCTCTTGAGATTTAATACAAAGTAACGTTTCTTATAGGTCATTGCTCTTTTTATTGAAATGTAAACGTGTAATCAGATGTGACCACATTATATCGTATTGCACAAATTGTATTTTCTGTACTTGGTATGTCGCTAGTAACAAATTCGGAATAATTCACCTTTTAAATATTGGTTTTGGATTTTTTAGTGGGCGTGCTCGAATACAAATTTATTTGAGACCATCAACTATTATTAAATATTCATATAGTGGCCGAAAAATGTCTGTAATAACTATATTGATCTGTCATTTTTAATCAGGGCTGAATAACTATATCCATTTTACATATATGTAATTATTAAATACAATTTTAATTAAAAACAAAAATAACTGTGAGCGAGATAGATGATGACGATAATTTGTCAAAAAGCATGTATTCATTGTTACTTATGTAAACTCCTACATTATTTCAATATTGTTAAGTAAATTTTATATTTAGCGAATTATTTTTTACGAGGTAAATATAAAATATGTTCAAGTAGGTAGTTCATAGTGCTCATTATTTCACAATTGCATTTTTTAGACATCATATCATTAATTTTGTAAAGTTTCATTAGACTTGTACCTAAAACAAATCAATCTAAAATAAGAAAGAATTCATAGCAAAATGAATTTATAGTTTTCTATAGTTCATATCATTTTATAGTTTTATCATATTTTTTAGGTCTAGGAATAATTTAGTAGGACCACTTTTTGTCTCTAAATTTTAATGTACGTTCTAGTTTCTTCTTATGTATTTGATAGTCAGATTGATCTCTTCTAGTCGTCGTAGTGAGGCGTTTGTCAACCGAGTAATGTCCCAAATTCTACCATATCGTTAATCTTCTTATATTGCTACGGGATAACATATAGATTATACCGGTGCATGCAGATTATTCTAGATGGATTATCTGTCGTCTCCTACAGTAAGGGGCTTTGTGTCTCCTGAATGTATAATCGCGAAGCACGGAATTAATCACGACTCGTGCTGAATGCGAGCTATGGTAAACCATGCATCGTTGCCCAACGGTACGTGCGTCTAATATTTATAAAAATACACAGGAAACAATGTACATATAAGCAGACAATTAAAGACTAATTTGAAAATTCGGATGCAAGTTACGTGTAAGTTTCGAACATGAATCGTTTTCGGAATGATTATGAAATCGGTTCTTTACCGACACTATAGTTTTACAAATAAGTACTATACTCGGAGTCCGTATGCGTGGTGCAGATTACAAATCACTAAAACGTAATTGTAAACTATATTCGACAAAACAATTTACTAAAATCCTTTTAATGAAAATTAAAATTTCAAATTGATGTTACAACGATATTATTGTTCTAATGCGTTCCTTAGAATACTGGTTTATACTGGTCTACAAACTTATCCTCTTATTTAAAAAAAAAATAACCTCTCAATCCTAGTTTAGCTATTGAACTGTTTTCACTTTCGAGTTAAATTCCCAATTTGAAAGAAAGTGACATAACAGTGTAATAGTTAAAATAAAGTTGTAGAATGTTTTATTTTATATGAATAAGGGGGTTAATTTTTAATAGAATTATGGCAGAACTGCTTTACATTTAATCCTGATTGGTCCATTAATGGTATTATTAAATTATTAAATCAAAATTGTAACTTTAGACATAAGTTTTAAAAAATATCATCTGTCATATACCTAAGAGTTACATTAATTTTATCTCCAAAAAAAAAAAGAGACTTTTTTAGTTATTAAAGTAAAAAGTTAACAAAACAGAAGGTAACCAATACGCGGTATTGTTTTTATTCCAATATAAGCCGATGTCTTAGCCAATTTTCAATAGATATAGGTAAATTATTTTTTTAACCAACAATGTTTGCTCACGTGTTGGTTCCATATTAATTAATTTTTTCACGTTTGAAGTGTCTTTTTTTATTTGTCGATGTTTTAAAGTGTTATTTAAAATTCAAATGCGAATATTTTACATACTAAATGCGTATAGTAGTGTAGCTAATCAATAAACTTTACTATTTTACATGTTTCTATTAATGAAGTACCATTCTTATGTTAATAACTATAATAATAGAAACAGACCATTATGTTTTATGAATCTATTTATGAATAAATAAATGTACTCACAACTTAGATTATATAGGTAGTATCCATACTTTGCCAAAGACAGGTAAACTTTATA